TGAAACGTCGGACGACTAGAAGTCTTGTCCCAGCGATCGCATCTTCTTCTCAATTACTTCCTGGGACTCGCATGTTCGCTTGAATTGGCAATGAATAAATACTCTACCTCCCACACCACAGTCTGGCATTGACTAGCCTCGGCTTTAGAATACAGGTGACCCGTCGGATTGGCTCTGCTTGCGGACCATGGATGTTATGCACATGTGCAGCAGCGTGCTCACGCTGCAGATGCGTTGGATCAAAACTGGAGCTCACGAACCGCTATAATCAGGCTACGCAGAGTCCACCTAAGCCCATAACTACTGTCGTACGTGCTCGTGTGGTATACCTTAAACGCCAATCTTCAACTAAGTGCTGGCTCTTGTTTTGTTTAGCGATTGCTGAGACTACCTGCTGATCTGCGCGTATATGTGGTTTGTGCGTCCGCGCAGAGCTTACGGGATCTGAATGCGCCCGCCAGCCAATCAGCAGAAGGTGCATAGCTCGCGAGAGGAAAAACAAAACATCAAAACGACCTTGACACCTCACGCGACAGCCAAACCTGTATTGTTTGCGGACAAGGTCTGATGAGTCACGCTGGACGCTCCAAAGAATTGGTCCAGAGTGCGGGCAGTAAAGAGTCACTTGTGGGCCTGCGATAAAAGTGTCAGCGCAAGGCTAACGGGAGGCCCGCTACATATGCTCTATTGCCGTAGTAAAGTTTTTCCAAGCCACACTGTCTCTCTGATCTTGTGATTTGGGAAACCTGTAGGATGCTGCCTTGCTGACTCACGTAGACAAGCTCCCACAAACCTCTGAGTTGTAAACCACCACACTTTGACAAGATAAATCGGTCATCGTGTCCAGTACTGGGTGGTTTGTGGCCTTTATGTCCATTCTACTCCGTGGAATCCGAACCATATTGTTGTTGTGCAAATTCTTAATCAAATGTAGGCTGTGGTCAGGTGGTGTATGATGCGATGTGACATAGAGGCGAAGACCGTGTGAGCTGAGATTCGTGCCGCCGCTTCCATTGAGCCTTGGTGGCACACATGGGTGGAAACCCAGGCACCAGCCACCTGTAGCCTTTATGACACTCCCACTTCGTGTGATCTGAGTCCGGCTTGGCGGCGCCGGTCGCCTGCGCCCGATCCCGTCTCTGGTCTTCTCGACTGTGTCTTGACACCGGGCACAGGGGGAGGGGTGATGAAGGAGAGCGTGCCGTAGATGCAATGCAAGTCTACTATCCCTTAAAACGAGTCCACGCACGAGGCATCGATTCTGCACCACTATGCTGTGGAGCACATGATGGACATCATCGGATGTGACGTTCGAACTATCGGGTCCTTGTTGTG